GGGGGGGGGTGCAGTCACACCCTTGCAGTCCACATTTACAAAAAAAGCACACACACGCCCCACAGAAATTCCTGCGTACTGGCCTGATTTAGTGAAGTTCTTCATGATCAACTTCTGATTCTTCTATATGTACTTGTTACTAAAATATTTTAAAAGATTTTTATATATAGTAAACAAACAGGAATATGTTCCCACCCACCCCCCAGTTCCTTTTTGGCACCACTCACTTGAATTCTGTGTGTCTGTGCAATGATAACCTTTTTTTTTTTTTTACATTTGAATTCAGCTGAAAATACAAAGCCACTACAACCATACATTTTCTCTGTGATTTCTTTAGCAGCCCTAAAGATGGTGAATGAAATTCAACTATCTTTGTTTCAGATACAGAGAGTAAACAGATACACTAACACCAAACATCTGTATTTTCTTTGTTCCAGAGTACTCTGGCTGGAGTGTCTTAAGGGATGTGAAGTTAGATTTCAAGATGACTCTTTTAACAGGAGAAAATTCTGATTATGACTATAGCGCCCTGAGCTGTGCTTCAGATACCTCCTTCAACCACACATTCTTTCCGGAAACAGAAAGCCTCAAGGGAGTCTTTTACCAAAGAGCTAAGCTAATTCACCCAGAAGAGGATCTCTTTAAAAGTGTTCACCCTGAGGACCGGAAGCATCATATCATCATAAATGTAGGGGGCATTAAATACTTGCTCCCATGGACCACACTTGATGAGTTTCCCCTGACGCGCTTGGGCCAGTTGAAATTTTGTAATAATTTTGATGACATTCTAAACATTTGTGATGATTATGATGTGACGTGCAATGAATTCTTTTTTGACCGCAACCCAGGGGCATTTAGGACAATCCTGACATTTCTGCGGGTGGGGAAGCTTCGGCTTATGCGAGAGATGTGTGCTCTTTCTTTCCAAGAGGAGCTGCTCTACTGGGGCATTGAGGAGGACAGCCTGGAATGGTGCTGCAAGAGGAGGTATCTGCAGAAAATGGAGGAGTTTACCGAAATGAATGAAAGGGAGGATGACCTCATAGAGAATGAAAACCCAGGTGAAACAGTGGAGGAGACAAGAGTGAGCCTGTGCATGAAAAAGTTACAAGACATGGTGGAGAAGCCTCAGTCTGGGCTTCCTGGGAAAGTATTTGCATGTTTGTCTGTATTGTTTGTGACTATTACTGCAGTGAACCTGTCCATCAGCACCATGCCCGACTTAAGAGAGGAGGAGGAGAGAGTAAGTTGTCTTTCAGGATGGTAAAATGTCGCTCCCTCAAAAAAGTAAAGAAATTACAGGGCCTGATCATGCTCCCATTGAAGCTAGTGGAAGTTTTGTAGTTGTCTTCAGAGAGAGCAAAATAATACCTATAGATAAAGATACTGAAAGTTGTAAATGACAATTTTTATCTAAGAAATATGCATTATTCTGGACAGCCATATCATACATTCTTGAAGCTTTGTTTATGCTACTGATGAGCACTGTAACTACTAATAGAAATTAGGGAAGTTGTAGCCAGACCCCAATGCCTCTGAAATCAATGGGAGTTTTGCCATTGATTTCAGTGGAAGAAGTACTGGGTGTCTGGTAATTTTTGTATTTTGCTTGTAATTCGACAGATTTTCCAAACTGGTTACCACTTACTACAGCTTCAATTCATTTAATATTATGGTTTTAAAGACCAAAAAGTTATCATTCCTGTCACTTTACCAACTAAAGTATACCAACTGAATACAAACTCCTTCTTTTTCTTCTAGGGTGAATGCTCCCAGATGTGCTACAATATTTTCATCGTGGAATCTGTCTGTGTGGCATGGTTTTCTTTGGAATTCCTGTTAAGATTTATTCAGGCAAAGAGCAAATTTGCGTTCCTGAGGAGACCATTAACTTTGATTGACATTATTGCCATTCTTCCCTATTATATCACTTTGCTCGTAGACACCACTTCAGTGGGCTACAAAAAGCCAACTTCTGGCAACATCTACCTAGACAAAGTAGGTCTGGTGCTCCGCATACTCCGTGCCTTGAGGATTCTATATGTCATGCGGTTGGCCAGGCACTCCCTTGGCCTGCAGACCTTAGGACTCACTGCTCGTAGGTGCACCCGGGAGTTTGGACTCTTACTGCTCTTCCTCTGTGTGGCCATTGCCCTTTTTGCACCACTCTTGTACGTCATTGAAAATGAGATGGCGGACTCACATGAGTTTACCAGCATCCCTGCGAGCTATTGGTGGGCAGTAATCACCATGACAACGGTAGGCTATGGTGACATGGTTCCCAGAAGCATTCCAGGCCAGGTGGTGGCGTTAAGCAGTATTCTGAGTGGCATTCTCCTCATGGCATTTCCAGTCACCTCCATCTTCCACACGTTTTCACGCTCCTACATTGAGCTGAAGCAAGAGCAGGAAAGACTCATGTTCCGAAGAGCACAGTTCTTATTAAAAGCTAAGTCTCAGCTCAGTAATGCATCACAAGGGAGTGCCATTTTATTTCCCAGTATCTCTTCTGAGATGAGGGACAACGAAATTTAAGTTTCCATAACTGTCTGATATTGGGCAAAAGTAACATAGTGAAAGATCCCATCTTACCATTTGCTTTTGAAGCATTTAAAGAAACCTTTATACAATTATCAAGAAAGGAGTTTTAGCCATTAAGCTAATGTGGTTTTAAAAGCCTATTATTAAAGGCTTTTTTTTTCTTTTCAGGAAAATGTACAGTTAAGACAGTTTTTCCCCATGAGATCATATAGTGGGATATTAGGAATTAGGAGTACTTTGAGTTCTCTGACCAAAATGAGAACAATGTGAAATTACATATTTGACACAGACTGTGTTGTAGTTGATGAACCATTTTCCAACCATTATGTAGGTATTAATTTTGATAATTTAATAAGTTCTTCTTTATTTTCTTCATGTATATACATAGTATAAAGATGACAAGTTCAGATCTAAATCTATCCCTGGTGCATTTCCATTGACTGTAGTAGAACTAAGTATGTAAATTACCCACTGTTCCCTTGGAGAGGATTAAACAAGGTGTGTGTCTTTTAGTGCAGGCAAATGTAGTATTTTTTCCTTGTGAGCCAGTCCTGAAAATTACTATAACAATAAAGAAAAGATACTGGTTTCTGGGTGCTTTGGGACAGGCATATGCTGAAGACATAAATACTTATAGCTCATCAGTTCAGAACTTAAATGGGCTTATATTGTAGACCTGACATAGTTCCACACAATATTCCCTGTGATGGGTGAGACGGTCTTGAATTTTTTGACATCCCAGACAGATAATAAGGAGATAGCTGCAAATTAAATTGAATGTTCATTGTTTCAATGTTATTTCTTTATACCTGATAGAAACAGAAATGAAAAAGATGACACTGTTTCTAGATGAAGCTGCAATATTACTAATCAGGTTGATTCTGGTGCTGTGAGTTGACTGTGTGGCATCTGACTCCTTTAAAAAAAAAAAGCAAAAGAGTATTACAACAAGTTGCCACTGATGTAAAAGGGAAATAATATCAATTGAGACATGGCAGATATAGTCTTGAGTCATGGGAGATTATAAGGTGTAAAGCTTTCAGCTAATTAGTTCTTCCTTCACTGATACAGCAGGCATCATAGCACTGAAGAAAAATTTATCTTAGGAAACTTATAGGCAACTAAGGACCTAAAGTGCAATCTTGCATCTTTTACTTCACTAATCCTTAAATAAGTTGTTCTTTTGAAGTCAATGTGAGTGAGTGAGTCTTTCAGGATTGGATCCTGATCCATCGCTACTAGAAGTCAATAACAAATCCCCTGATAATTTCATTCAGAGCAGGTTTGGACTACAAGATTGCTCAAAAGACAAAGTCCAGAACTCTAACAAAGAAACAAAATTGGTTGCTTTGTCTCTTAGAGAGCATGTATAGTGTTGAAAATCTAAACTTTAGGTGAAGTTTCACAATTTTAAAAGAACAGTGTGAATTTCCTATTCATTAACTGTCAGGAAGTATGAAAGTTAATAAGCTCACCTTAAATCTATTTTTCAGCATTCCTGTTCTAATCTCTGATCTCTCTTGAACTGGGACTTTCAGTTGTGCTAAATTTTATGAAGGTTTTATGATTTATATCAAAGAGGTTGGGGATGAAAAGCAAAACTCATCTTCACTTGAATTTTTGTCTGTGAAAGCTGAAACTTAGGGTATCAACCTATGCTGAATGGCCAAGTCTCCATGTTACAGTGACCTGGTTTAAATTAGTAATAATAATAATAATCAATATTAGACATATTATTAATATAATATAGACATCCTATGTTTTCTATAAATAATAGTTCGAATCTCCTTAGCGGGTTAGGGTTTTATGAAGAAAACTTTTAACCAGAGTTTTCAGAGCACTTTACAAACATGAATGAATGATACCTCACAAAATTGCTGTGATATAGGTAAATATCACCATGAAATGAGGCATGAGTCAAATAAATAGCCCAAGAATACCGCAACTGTGTGACATAGCTAGAAATATAACCCACTTCTTCTGACCCACTAATTCTTGTGTAATTACTGTTGGAGGGGGGGAAATAAGGAAACTGTTCATGAAGAAATATTCCCTCCTCCATTGAAACAATTCTGATATCCAAATGCTTTGACCAACTGTAACTTTAACCTCAACCCATGTACTGCACATCCTTATTCCTTTGTATTGGTATCCAATATAAAAGGATTTGGTAATGGGACTGGTGAAAGACTTGTATGTATTTGCAAGACTCAGCCTTAAAGGAGAAGCTGTATGTCAAAATAAACAATCAAGAGATTAGAGGTCACATCTCCAGCTCAGTTCCATGCTATACTGATTTATGCGATCTAAGGATTTGGTCCACTTTTTTCAATTTCTGTTTAAATCAGCATTGACTAGGTGTATTTCAGATATTGTTTTTTCTGTTGAAAAATTATGGTAAATCCTGAAGTCCTGGTTTGGACAACATTAATCCTGAAGTAATGCCTTGCATCAAATCCATCCACCAAGCCCATCAGGTGCTGAGTCAGAAACAAGGATTTCAGGATGTAGCCCATTGTAATTTTGCACTTGGCAACAAATTACATGTAAGAGTATCAACATGTTGTACTATGAATCATTGTAACAAATTGCTTGTGTTTTATAGCGCAGTGATACATACAGTTGTTCTTATGCTAAATTAATACTGCTATATGTCTTAGGAATACACCATTAGCATTAAATCCACATGCTGTATTCAGTTTCTACTGCCAAGGCTTAAGATTGTAAATGATTATAACTCTATGGTATATTATCTCAATTTAGAGACAAATTTATGAAATTATAGATTGATTCAAAAGCTGGCTCTGAAAAGTTTCCGTTCACACAGCTGACAGCTACTGAGTCTGATATCTTTCCTTTCTTGCTTTTTAACAGCATGCAAAGTTAACAAAAAGTTCCTTTAAGAACATTCTGTACTTTCATGAAGTACAAAGGAATTGCTTGAATTGCCACTGATAAAAAGTGGAACTTTTCAAATATCCTACTGGAGATGGATTTGCATTGCTATTTGTATTATCCTGTATATATAGCAATAGTATGTACATTTTCACATTGAACAGCAGTAGCTATATTAAATTTGATTAATAAAGACTTGCACTTTCTTGTATTTTCATGTGCTTGCTTATAGTGTAGGCTAACTAATCCAAGTAACTGAAGCAAAAATAGGGCAGATCTCAGAGCAGACAAAGACTTTCATTCACACTTATACTTTCTTGATGACAGATTCAATAGGCCTGAATGCAAGAGGAGACGGGTGGAAGAGGTTGCAAAGAAAGCAAAAGAGGAAGAACTTACATGGGTGAATAACACTGTGAGGTCACACATAGGAAGTGACTACCAGTTGGGAGAGAGGACTTGGCAATGAACATCACTAGCTGAAGTAGGTTGACTACAGAAGAGAGCATTAGTCAGGAGTCAAAATCTATCTACCTATGTACTTCTAACTTACCCTTAGGATCAAATTGCCAATTCGACAGCTTGAGTACAGGAACGCCTCTCTCACATGTTTCCGAGGGCCAGAAATTTACCCATTCCTTCTGTCAATCAGGACATAGTTTTAAAAACAGTTTTAAAAGTAAGTAATAATGGGAAGAAAAGAAATCAGAGACAGAAATTAGAGGAATGAATAGGAAGCAGATGGGGAATTTAAATGAAGAGAAGAATCCCTCCAGAGACCTGCATTTCCAGTTAGGAAGAAAACACATTAAATTATACTCCTAAAAAAACTCTTTAGCCCCTCCCCTCACACTCGCACTTTTCTCAAAAGTGGCAAAAAATAAGTTCTGCAGATCAGTGTAATATATATTGAAAATCATTTCTATAGCAAAAAAAAACAGGTGTACAATGAGCAGGGCCACATGCAATTGAGAGTGTGCCTACAAACACACAAATTGGTTACCTCAAATTTTTGACTACCCTGCGCAGCCACATAGTTCACATATGCTTAGGAATGGCCCTGACAGTGAGTTTCTCTTTGATTTTTCCTTCACTGAACATCGCTGCAGTCTGCACGTGGCCAGGATTTGGAAGCAGGGGAGAGGCATTATGCTTCACTTATGAGAGAGAGGTTTACTCAATGTCACTTCACCCTGACCCATGTCCTGAAGTCCTTACTCAGAGAAATCTCCCTTTGTGACAGATGTAGGGATTGGGTCCCACTGTATCCCCATTTCATTGTACTGTTAGTCTTTCCTTTGTGAATATTCAGTGCTTTTGGCTACAAAAACATTTGTGCGGGGCTGAGTCATGGATTCATGCATCATCTAGTACACGTGTCTGAGAAGGAAAACTGGCACTTCTGCACATTCATGACATGTGTGGGCTGAGTTTAGCTGAATGTTCAGACTGATGTAAAACCAAAAATTGCTGTGGTAGAAGAGTACCTCTTTTCCACTGCCTCTTGATAAGTGTTAGTCTTCATAGAATCCTTCAATAAAAATAGCCCATCATAGTCAAGGAGGTACTAAGCCTTGGTGAACACTTTAAGTCTTCAGTTGTAAAGTATGACCAGTTCCCCTCTCCCTTCAATTGCCTGCTGCACATCCCATTCATTAATAGTGCCCAATACATCCTGATGTAGTCAGGGCCGCACTAAGGGGTGGGTGAGCTGGGCAGCTGCCCAGGGTGCCAACCGATGGGAGGCGCCTGATGGCAGCTGTAAGGGGCGCACGGCACCCCTTATAGCTGCCATTGGGTGCCATGCGCCTGGCTCCCAGCAGGCTGCAGTGGCTGCCAGGGGCGGAGGCTGCATTAACCCCACAGTGCCCTTCCCCCCATGACCACGGGGCCCTGTACGGCCAGGCGCCACCCGCCCAGGCAGCCCCGGGCTGCGCACCAGCGGCAGTGGCTGGGCAGCGCATGCATCGTGCACCCAGAAGTGGGCCCGTGCGCCCCTGGGGCAGGCTCACACATGCACCGTGTGCCCGGAGGCGGG